ATATATAAAGTTATCTAATCTTAGATTTATATAAATATTTAATATGGAGAATATTTTCAATATAAATATGAGAATCAATAACGTGCTGGATATCTTACAATAATATATTATCGACGATTATTATATTGTACTATAAAGGTACTATTTCTATTAAGACTTGTTAATCTTGTCATGGATTATAAATGTACTTTCTCAAATAACATTTAATTGCAAGCAATTAACAAATTAATGGATAACAAAGAGACTGGATCAGTCGATTAATCCCGATAAAAGCCAGTCTAAAACTCTTACATCCCAAATCGCTTTAATCCGCATTCAAAACAATTCTAATTGTTTACACAGTCGTTTTCTCACTCATTGACATGTAATTTTAATAAAAGACTTCAAATTTATATGGTAACTAACATTTCGCTTCTTTTGAACATTTTTTATATACAACTTTTCATATACAATATATTCATTTATTTTACGCGTTTTTTGTATGTTTGTTATGCTTTAAATCTTTACTGTTCGTTTAATTCCAGTATTTTTTTTCGATGAATAGGAAGAATATGATATCAGAATTGTTTCAAGTGAAAAACAATATCAGCAAATATTGACAAAATAAATTCCACTCGGCATTGTTTCTCGAATGTATTATGAGAAACCAATTTCCCGGCGAAATGTACCTCGTCACTCATCAGAATTTCATCTTATTTTTGTTTAGTCGGCTCTGAAAGCGTGGGGTGTTAAGCTGAGGAATGGAGGGAACGTGGCAGTGGGAGCAGCGAAAGCACTGCCATATCATTCTGCTCAACTCTTCGTCGTACCTAAAGGAGAACCCGGAACAAGTTGCAGGTGAGCCAAAAATCTTTTTCTTTTAAATCAGCACATTTTTGTTCAGTCCGATCCTCATCGAAGAAATAGATTTGACTCACTACGTCAATGAGAAAAAAAGGAAGTCTTAAAATCGTCTCTCTCGCTTGATCGCTTAGAACGATTATACCTTTTCATCGTGCATCTGAATTTCAAGAAAGTAATTCCGAAAGAGTGAACTCATAGAGAAAAGAAAAAGTGTTCAATGAAATCGATTTCAATCTTCGCGGTTCATTCTTAAGTGACCCACATCTTTAAAAATAACACGAAGTACTGCTGGAGCAGATTGAATTGAAAGTGAGTCAATAATATGAAAATTTCATATTATTGACTCACTTTCAGTTGCCAGTTGAAATCAATTCGATGCTCCAATTGCTGCATCTTTATTTCTTATTTTATCAAGAATTTGTTGTCGATCTATTTTCTAATTTTTATTAATAAATTATTATATATATATA